ATCTGTTGAGCTTTTAAAGCATATTAATTGTTATTGCTATTTGATAAACTTGTAACAGCTTTGAGGACCCTTTGAGTATACAACAATGGCTGAAAGGTGGCCTGAAAATGCATTTTAATAACAACAATAATAATGTAATTCACGTGACAGAAGTGGTTTGGACACACATTTACTAAGATGTCCCAGTGCAAAGAATATTCTTTCAATTCATTTCCATTGCAACTAGAGTTCTTCCAAACTGTTGCTATTTGGGGGGGGGGGGGGTTCAAACACATTCTGGCAAAATCAAGCTATACAATTCAAGTTCATTTAGAGGTCTTACACAATAAATTTGCTTCCTCAAAATATCAAAGTTTCTTCAGTTAGGAAAGTGATGGGAAAATATACCAGGAAGCATGGGGTAACACTTGCCTTGATGCAACGTTATGTCAGCTGCTTGCAAACAAATCAGAATGGACACTCATTAAATACCCAATGCCTTCTAATCTCCCTGCAAACAAATCAGGGCGAATGCTCAATAAACAGGTCATCTGGAAGTCCCCTTAAGACACAATCCAGGAAACATACCCAAGAGTGTGTTCCATTGAATTCAGTGGGACTTGCTTCTCAGTAGACATTTATAGGTTTGCATATTAAATCTTTGTGTTTGTCAAAGCCCTTCACTTATATAAGAAAAGTTGCATCATTAGTTTCATGGGAAATTTAGGGGGCACATAACTGCTAGGAAATAATCAGATGTAACATACAAGGTCCTTGACAAAATCTTCCTGTTATCTATCCACTTAGAGCTCCAAATACCAACATCTCTCTGCTTTCTCTTCTCATTAGTAGGAAGGAGAAGGCGCAAGCAAAGCCTATGCTTTAAACACCATGAACTCGAAATTATAACAGCGTGACTTGGTATTATTCCTTCTTAATGAATAGAAGGCTCCCTGCATGTAGGCACTGGAATCATATTTGAATAAATTTAGATATTCCCATGCAGTTGTATTATGTGAACTCATTTTAACATATCAGGAGGTCTCAGCATGTCGTCGGACAAAACCCTTATTTTAATAATTACAGAGAAAGATGCATGAATCTGCACAGAGTATATATAGGGCAAACATCTCTTTGCTCTCCCATCATGATATTTTTATTAGTATTTTTTTAATTCAAAGGAAACATGACTTTCTCTAGTGCATAGATGTATTTAGATGCAATTAGAACTACCGTCTAGATCTGTTTGGATGGGTTTCTACATTGTCAGTTGCATTCTTGGGGAAGAAAAACTTGCATTCCTGTGCTGAAGAACTAATTTTCATGAGTTGGTAACAAATTTAAAACAGCAACTGACCAGTAATTGGAAGAGGAGCATTCTGTGAAAAGCAGGAGGAAAAAAGAAATCCCAGCTGATTCAAGAGACATGGACATCAACTTGAATCCAATTTATATAATACAATGCAGGGTGGTGGTGGTGAATTGCACTGCCTAACTAAAGACCTTGCTTTTCGAGACATTGAGCCATCCCGTCTCCTCCACTCGCCTACTTCCTCCTTCTTGCTGACACACTAAAACTTTTTATGGTAAAGTTTTAACGAAGGCTCCTTGTAGAGTATGTGGCTTTTACAGGTGTTGATGTCTTGCTTAAGACTTTAGAAATGGAGCTTACACAGAGCTGTAGGAAGAAAAAATGTGGAGGGGAAACCCCAATCTGTCATTTTTATCTGTTTTAAGTTTAAAGATCTTCATTCTGGAGTCTAAAACCAAGTAAGTCTATGCCTAGGATATTTCCCAGTTTTGCTTTGCCCTGCTTTCATGGCCAGAGTTGACAGCACAGACTCATTTCACAGCCCCATCTAAGTTAAGTGGTATAAATCACACTCGTTTCAATGGGAGACATTCATTAAGGTGCTTAACTAGTTCATTGTTAAAACCAGGACTTAAAGGTAGGGAGAATTCTGACAAAGTCAGAAATGGGAGTGGGAATTGCTGGTATTCGCCTGTCCCATGTCCAGAACGGCAACCAATCCAGTAAATATGATCAATATTCACTGTCGTCATTGCTTTCGTTCCACAAACAGTATGTTCCAACATGTCATTGGCCCAACACATGTGGCACTGGCACGAACAAAACTCACAAATCCAACCCACTCTAAAGAGTGCCCTTTTGATTGCCCATTCCTGAGACTCCAGCCACTTGACCTACTAAATGCTGTGCCCACCCCATCATTCAAAAGGAATGTGCAGGGTGTGTATTGGATCAATGTCTTAGTTGTCGCTGAGCTGTGCATCTATTCCTCTTATGTACCTGCTGCACCATGTCACATGTGCCTTGCCAATGTACTGATCTGATTTATGCATTAAAGACTTGGGCAGAAACCAAACTGGGAGCTCAAGTTCTTCACTGTTAGGCTGTGAGGACCAAGTCAGTGCCACTGAGAAACAGCCGAAGAATTTCTCTAGCAAACTAGAGAAAGGTCCGCTGCAATTTCTCTAACTTCACATAGGGTGAAACTTTTAAGATACCATTTCTACTGAAAACCTTGCATGCCACACAGGGACACATTTCTCCTCCTCCAGTATTCATTGCACATGGACTGCTGCACATGTGCGGCACCATCAGAGAGATACAACAATATACATATGCACTGTAATATAACGGATGAGTGAACAAGCTGAGCACCTTTCAAAAAACTTTGCAACCGCTCCCTTTTGGCTCAGCCTTACTTACTACAGGTATTATATGAGCTGCATTAAGTGTTTGCAGCTTCATCGTGATGAAATAAACACTCCTGACTTTCCCCCAGTAGGCAGAAATGTGTCAGATACACAGAAAATAAGCAAATTGGAAGCGTTTGCTGAGGCTATGGCTGTGGCAGTACATGGTCATATGTCAGAATATTGCAGAACACCTTTCTGTAAAATATAATTTCTGCTTTATTTTGGGTTCTGGTGGCTTTAGTGTTCTCATTTCTGACGTTATAAGGTTGCAGGCTCTAACCTTGGGAAAGTTTACACTAAATTTGATTTTTATTGTTTCACAAAATGGGAATTGTTTTCTGACAGTCAATAAAACTGTAGTTGATAGTCCTTTTGTAATACATTTGAACAGGCCATTACTATTTGTTATTGTGGTTTAACTGCAGGGCAAGCCTATAAGAGGGTGCCAATGGAACAACACACAATTTTATCAGGCTCTTTCCTTGCGTTATCACGTGGAGTGAGACTCAAGACTCTCACCCATTTTGAGGAAGCAACATCAGGGCTAGGAGGGTGAAAGTAGCCATGCCCCAAATGAACATAATGGGCACCATTCATGCACATGGTTCTTTATAAAAGGAGTTTACAATCTAGAAAGGGAGGCAAGGGAGGCAACAGAGGAAAGTGGAAGCTCAGGCAAACAGGTGGTTAATAAGGATGCATTTCAGTTATACAGCTACTTAGGCATAGATATACACACTGAAGGCTGGTTCCCACGTGATCATGTCATGAAGGTTGTATCCACTGCAGATCATTCACATGGGGTAGGCAAATCCTATCCCTTCCCCCAGCCATTCATGCTCTCCACTTTCTTCCCTTCCGCTTGTATCCTTTCCCCAACATGCACGAATGCAAACTAGTGTTTTTGCAACTGCATGCTAGTCACACTGTTTGCTATGGGGAAAGCAATGGATTGTTTGGTCCTATGCATGTGGGCTCCCGTTTAAATTTCTTTGCATTGGGATGGAACACTCACCTCTCCATTCACCCAATCCCAAAGGAAATGTATGAGCTTCCTGGAAAGAGGCATTGATTGTTACACTACACTGAGAACTGAAGCACTGTGAGGGGAATTGGGGTCTCCTAACTCCTCTCAGCATCCATAGCAAACTACAGTCACCAGGATTATTTGAGGAAGCCTTGACTGTTTATAGTAGTATGAAGCTGCTTTAAATGTATAGTGAGGATGGGGCTGAAGGCAATGAGTTCATAGTAGTTCACCCTTATTTTAGTTTTCCATCACAGATAGCCTCCTGAATTAGATTTCTCAGCTGTGCTCAGATCATGTTTGGCAGCACTACTAGTGTCAACGCAAAACAAATTAAGTTAGTATGGCTATTGTATTTCAATTTATTGGTGCATGCACCTCAGGTTTTAAAGAGCAAGAGACTCCAGGGGTGCCTGTGCCTTACCTGGGGTCAGTTTCCTTGAAATGAAAGTTAATGAAGACTGTGGCGTCTTTAGAATACATGGCTTTATTTACACTAATATACAACCTGAGCATTGGATGGAAAGGCTCACACTATCAACACTCCAACAGGTCTTCTCTCCCTGTTAGGTTCCCAGGGAGATCTCCAAGTCATAGCTTTGGGTCCAACACAGAGAACGATAAGCCTGTATGTTTCTAGCTTTCAGCATCACCCAAAACAACCTTCTCTCCCCCCTCTCATGCGTGCGCGCGCGCACACACACACACACACACACACACACAGCGCCTGCCTTGATCTATTATTCTACATCCTACATTCTACATTCTACATCCTAGAATGACAGCCAGCCAGAAGAGGAAGAGGAAGGCCCACCCATTTGCCTGTATGGCAATCTCTCTGGACATGTAAATGCTGGCACTTAACTGGCAATCTCAGGCCATTATGTTTCAAAGAAACTAATCCTCATACACAAACCTGTAAAATCACAATAGCACCTACACATCTGCATGCATGCAAACCTAGGCTATGCACTATACATGGAGTAGGAGGGCAGAGCAGCCTGTCTCTCACTGAAGGTGAGTTGTTCACCTTCCTAGCAGGCACAGAATTCATCAGAAGTGAACTGCTCGTCTGTGGGCAACAACTGTGGCGTATGCCCGTTCTTTTGGAAATGTCTGTACAGTGGGAGAGAAAGGGTTAATAGGTAGACCAATAGAAAAGCCCAGAGGCGGAGCCTACCTGTTTTTAAAAGGCTTAGCCAGAGGTTTAGACAGTTGGGAAAAAGCAGTTGGGAAAGCAGTTGGAAGACAGTTGGAAATAGACAGTGCAGTTGGTTCTTGTGTGAGGGGAGATAGAGGAGTTAGAGACAGGATAAAATAAGACTAAGAGGGTAAAGGGTAACAGCGTTTTGAATGCATTTAAAGTTTATTTGTGTCTGCAACAAACTACAGTCTTCGTTGTTAACTTGAGAACCCGACTGAGACTAAGTGTTTTACCAGAGAGAACCTGGTTGGTGGCAATGGATTAGTGGTGTACGGGTCAATAGTCCGTGAAATGACCGGGGGCTCCGTATGAACTCCACAACAACATGGAACCCAGATATGGAAAATAGCTATTCAGTAGCCTAGTTCTGGTTTCTCTCTAATTTCCATGGATATGTTCTTGTGCACCTGAGATTTCATAAAAAGGTTTTGCAAGTACTCTCTCTCTCTCTCTCTCTCTCTCTCTCAACAATCCTCGCCACAAGTATCCCTCTGTTCCTGCAAAACTTCTAAAAGTTTTCAATCCAGAGCAAGACTTTTAGGTTATCTAATGTTATGGGAGATGACCTATTTTACAGCACTCCAAGCTTAACATTTTCACCTCACTTCACCCCAACAATAAATTCTTGCACAGGGTACTACTTAAAGGTTCAATCAGGATTTTAGAGTTTTCTTCACTCACAACAGCCAAGTGTGAAGTTCCGCATTTCCTCCTTGATTTGCTCACTGGAGTAGCTGTGACAGAGAAGTGCCTGAAAGGATCAGTCATCATCCAAATTGCTCCTGCCTGCCTGCCTGCCTGTGTAGAGGGTAATCTATGTTTCACATTGGATGTTTGCTCAAGGAACAGAAGACAATAACATGAAGTAGACACAAAAAGATCCACTTGTGACTCAAAATGGAAGGACATGAGAGAGGAAAGAGGAAAGAAACAAGCCACACTTTTTTCCTGCATAAAAATCTTCAGAATGTTAATTCAACTGAGTCAAAATTTGGGGGGCACATTGCTGGCTCTGTTTAAATTGGAGAAAATTATATCCAGCTATGCAAAACAAGATTGCATTCTATGAGCGAGGAAGTTATAGTGCAAGTCTGAACATGTTTACTCAGATACAGCTTGTCTCATGGAGTGCAATGCAACTTATTCCCAGGTAAGTGTATGCAGGCTTGAAGCCTCACAGTGTCTTCTTATGTGGGTATGCTCAGGTGTAAGTTCCATTGGGTTGTGTGTTTAACTTATACTCAGAGTAGACCAACTGGAATTAATGGACCAAAGTGAGTCATGGCCAGTCATTTCAATGGTCCTACACTGAGTAAAAGTTGAATACAACCCATTGAGTTTAATGACACTAACAGTGCAATCCAAACCCAAGATCTACCAGGAAAAACAAATTTGGAAAAGGCAGGTCCTTGGCTGTCCCAGCTGAAATGGGGTTATGCTAGTTAACTCTCTCAGCTCTGTGCTGTTTAATTGGGTGAAATTTACACTGATGTAAATCTGAAAAAGGGGAGTGGCAGTGACAGGACTGGACAAGAGACTTACACGTATTTCAAGCCTCTTTCAGCTCAGTCATGTGCCCTGGCAACGCAGTGGATCTTACACCATCTAATATGATAGTGTAAGTTAAACTTGGTTTAAAAGGCTTGTTTTCCCTCTGTGGGATTGAGCCAGCTCAGCTGACAGTAGTGCTACTCCTTAATGGAGTTTCTAATGTATGCATTTATGCCTCTATATACCGTATTGGACCAAATATAAGCTGCACCCAAATATAAACCACACCTTTAAAATTAGAGGGGGAAATGAAAAAAATACCCAAATATAAGCCAATCCATTCCTTGATGTTCCTGGCTGCATATTGGGCGGTGGGGTGGGGGGTGGGGTGGAGGGGAGAACCACACTGTGTTGGCGGTGGCCTTTTCCCTTCCTCGCTCTCTCCCTTCCTGGCCTTGGAGGAAGAGGATGGGGGACTACATGTGGGGTGGGTGCTGCTTTGCCACATTCTTGGCGCTGTTTGCCTCGCACTCCTGGCTGCATACCGTAAGGTCGTGAATATAAGCTGCATTTTAACTTTTCAAGGTCGGAATTTGGGGGGAAAGTGAGGCTTATATTCAGGCCAATATGGTATGTTCATCTGTCTCTATCTCACACAAGGAAGAAGAAAATATTTTTTCTGATCTTTGATTTTTTTGGAACCAAAATTGTATTCACATGTGATTTCATAGGGTGTCATTAGACATCCTGCTCTCCAACTACATGAAAGTAAATAGTGATTCACTTCACAGGGTGGTTGTGAAGGCAAGCAACACTGTTGATTTCGTCCATCTTGTTTATATACTTGGTGATATTTGTTGCTTGTTATACATCACTTTTTGTGGAACGGCAGCATGCATATATATGCATGCACGCACACACGATGCTCAAACCAGCATCATCATTTTGGGGCATGATATTTGGACAACTCTCAGATAATGAGAGACTGATTCAGATATGTGAATGTTTGTCTGGACTCCAGTGTTAACTGTGGAAGGCAAAGTTCCTTGAGTGCAAACAGTACTTGTGGATCTCCTATGGAAGGCTGTAGTCTACCTTCTATTTTTCCAGATGTTGGAGTCCCCATTCATTCCAAAGCAAGCACTTCACGGCATGCAAGAGACGTGTGTGTGCATTTGAGCTGTTTTTGTTGGAGAGAGAGGTTTAGAAGATATTCTTACTCTCTCACAGCAGAGTTAACACAATTGTGATTGCTCCAGGCACATTAAAACTTGGTTAGATTTGCAGCTGCCCTCATCTACCTTCACACAACCAATCCCCACAAAAGTACTTGAGCTAGAATAAATCAGACACTTAGTTTTGATAAGGGACTATTTTACCCGCAGAGTTTCCAGAAGTTACAGCAAACAAGTCCCCATCTACTGGCAGGAAAAGAAAGGTGAAAAAGGCTCCGAATGTCTTAAAAAGAAAAGTACTTACGTTTCCTTAAAAAAGGATCATGCAAACTTTGGGTTAGAAAATATGCAGCTTTAAAATAGCCTTATCGAGAGATTCAGTTCAGTTGCAGGGAGCCATGGCTGCATGGCTTCTTGCTTATTCTGGGAAGCATAAAGAGAAAAGGGGGGGGGGATGAGCAGAGACTGCTGAGAAATTGCTAAGCCACACCCACTTGCAACCTGAGCTCTGGGCTCAGGTTAACTCTTTCATGCACCCAAGTGTAAGTCTGTAACAGTATATTACAACAGTTTTATCAGAAAGATAACCTCTGAACTCCTAGGCAAAGTTAATTGGATTGGCAGAGGAGAGGGAGAGCACCTCTAACAACTCATTTGAATAATAAAGCATCACTTAACGAACCCTGTGGCTTGCCTCTCCATGTGTTTCACTGAACTGTGCTTCCAGGAAACAACTAACAACACTTTAACCTCCATAAATCCCTGCATGAAACTTTGGCAGTGCCAGTGTGAAGGCAAAAACATTGCTCTCAAAGCATTCAGAAATTGGCAGAGCTTCATCTGCCATAAGTTAGATTAGTTTCAGAACTAAATGTCCATAATGGATACAAAGAGACTGTTGAAATCCATCAGAATAAAAAATAATGTTCCTTGCCATGCCAGGTGCGGTGATGCTACATCTGTTTAAACTGAGACAGAGGGGATGTTTCCTCAAATGAATGACAAAACATTTCTGAAAAAGAAGAAGAGAGGTTGCATATATTTCTGCAGTTATCCCAGGGCACACTGTTCTCATTTGGAAATGAAAGCCTATTTATGTTCCTGTACCTGCAGAAAGGAAGGTCAAATCCCGCTTCTGCTGCCTTGCAGTCTACCACTGTCTCACAGGGATGTTATAAGATAAATAAATTGTAAAATACACTGCATACTGAGAAACAACTTTTCAAATTCCTTATTTTTTATGCCACAGAACACACCACCCCCTTTTCATTCAAAATTCAAAATATCCACCACCATGATCAGGCCCAGTTAGTTGGGGGATCCCAGGAAGGATTGCGTCAGTGTCCCCCTTGCTCACACCTGCCGGGGTAGGTGCCAAATATTCACACTTCAAATGGTATGCCAGTCATGTTAGAAACAGTGCATGCTGCTTTTGGAAAGGCTAGGTTCCATAGTTTTAAATTATTTGCTAGCAGTCTGTTATGTACTGAGTTGAATAGGAGCCATACTGCAGCAGTCTGATTGGTCCTAGAACAATAGGATCCAAAATGCAGCAGTCTGATTGGTCCTAGAACAATAGGATTCAGAATGCAGCAGTCTGATTGGTCCTAGAACAATGCAGCAGTATGATTGGTTGGCAGGAACCACCCAATCCTGCTCCAGATAGAAGTGAATCCACAACCTGATTGGCTTACAGTAGAATTCCGGAATTAGCCAATCATGTGCAGCCCATTGTGTAAATAATGTATATAAAGCAGATACTGTGAGGGAACTTCCATTCAGTCCTCCTCACCACTATGAGCTGAATAAAGAGCCTGAAATCACTTTGCGACTCTGAGTATATTTCACTGGCGATGAGGATGGGATCCCGCTGAGCTGACTGCCACACACAGCACCGCAGCACCGCCACCTGCCGCACCGCTGCCTCGCACCGTGTATCCAGGCTTCAGCTCCGGGACACAAGGAACTCAGAATGGCAGCCAACAGCAGCTTCTCGCCATTCAACCCAGCATCTGGAGACTGGGAAACGTACGCCTCCCGTTTCACCTTCTTCCTAGAAGCCAAAGGGGTCACCGACGAAGAAGACGCCAAGAAGAGGGCGATATTCTTCAGCGTCTGCGGAGAGGAGACGTTTGAAATCGCCCGGGCTCTCCTTGCGCCTGAAGACGTCGCTACTGTTCCATACAAAACAATAATGGAACAGCTGAAGGGGCACTTTTCGCTGCAGCCCTCAGTGGTGGCTCGTCGAAATGCCTTCTACGCAAAGCAGCAAGCCCCTGGGGAAACCATAACTGGGTTTGTGACCTCTCTCCGCCAAGCCGCCCGGTTCTGCAACTTCTCAGAGCTGGAGAACATGCTTCGTGACCGCCGCGTCGGTGGCCTGAAGGATGAGAAGCTGCAATGATGCCTCTACGCTAAGAAGGACCTAACGTTCCAGGTCGCTCTGGAGGAGGCCCTGGCAACGGAAGCTGCCGAGAGGTCAACGCAAGAGGCACGGCCGAGCCTGCCATCCCAACCGAGGGTCCACCACGAAGACCTCACTGACGACTCAGGATCCGACAGGGAGGAGGTGCACCGAGTACAGCAGCGCACTCAAGCAGCGCACAGACCACAGCTGCCTCGACGAGAAGGAGGGAACTGCGCAAGCTGTGGGGAGAGTCACGAGAGGAGGACCTGCCGTTTCCGCAACGCAGAGTGCAGGCAGTGCAGAAAATCGGGACACATCGCCCGGGTGTGTCGGGCTCGGCCCACCCGACACCAGGCATCAGATGACCAATCCAAGAGCCCCAGGTCCCGGGGCCCAACGCACCAAGGCAACTCGACGGAGCTCACGGACTGCCAGGTATACCAGTTGCCCCACCCCAACGTAGAGAAAATTTATGTAGAGGTACAGATAGAGGGGGGCCCCATGCCGCATGGAGCTTGACACGGGTTCAACTCTATCCATAATCTCGGCAAGGACCTTAAGGAAACTGTGTCCTACTGGGGGTCCCAAACTCAGGCCGGCCCCACTCACCCTACGGGACTTCCAGAAACGTAAGGTCCCCACAATGGGGGTGGGGACCTTCAGGGTGCAATACCGAGGGCGGACGCGGCAACTGGACTTGCTTGTGGTCAAGGGCCCCTACGTTAGCTTACTGGGATTGGCATGGTTTGGACCACTGGGCTAGCTGTCACCGGGGTGAACCACACTAGCTTACAAGTGGATGTGGACGCCATATGCAAGGAATTTCCAGTGGTTTTCGATGGGAAATTGGGACAGTATACGGGCCCCCCCATTGCACTACAGCTTGACCCCGCAGTACGACCGGTCAGGCTCAAGGCCCGCCGGGTCCCGTTCGCCTTGAAACCCCGTATAGACGAGGAATTGGACCGACTCGTGGAGCAAGGAGTGCTGGAGCCGGTGCCTAATGCTCCCTGGGAAACCCCAATCGTCACACCCATCAAGCCTAATGGTTCGGTCCGCATCTGCGCAGACTACAAATGTACCATAAACAAGGCCCTCACGGCCCACGCATACCCAGTGCCAGTGGTCAGCCATGTCCTTGCCACCCTGGCTGGGTCGAAATTTTTGGCAAGCTGGACTTGGCCCAAGCATATCAACAGCTGCCAGTAGATGAGGCCACAGCAGAGGCACAGACGATTGTGACGCACAGAGGAGCGTTCAGGGTAAAGCGGCTGCAATTCGCTTGGCAGCGTGGCACCAGGCATATTCCAGAATCTAATGGACTCTCTCCTTAAAGGGATTCCTGGCGTCACTCCCTTCTTCGATGATGTGTTGATTGCCGGGCCCACACCAGAGGAGCCTGAGGACCGCCTCCGCATCGTTCTGCACCGTTTCCAGACGGCGGGTCTCAAGGTGAAGCGGGAAAAATGTCTACTAGGAGTGCCTCAGGTGGACTTTCTGGGATTTATGGTGGACGCAGAAGGGGTCCACCCGACTGGGGACAAGGTACGGGCCATTTGTGATGCCCCAGCACCCAAAAGCAAGACTGAACTTCAGGCCTTCTTGGGACTATTGAACTTTTACCATTCCTTCCTTCCCCACAAGGCGGCGGTAGCGGAGCCCCTACACAGACTCCTGGACAAGCGGGCCCCTTGGGTGTGGGGCCAGTGCCAGGAGGCCGCATTCCAGGCAGTCAAGGACTTGCTTGTCTCAAACTTGGTCTTGGCACACTTCGACAAGAGGCTGCCGGTGGTGCTAGCATGCGACGCCTCACCCTATGGCATTGGCGCTGTCCTGGGGCACCAACTCCCGGATGGAAGAGAGGTACCGGTGGCGTACTTTTCCCAGACACTCAATGCAACCGAGCAGAACTACTCGCAAATTGACAAGGAGGGTCTGGCAATCGTGAAGGGAGTAAAAAAATTCCATGATTTCTTGTACGGGAGGCCCTTCACCGTGGTGACTGACCACAAGCCGTTGCTTGGCTTGTTTGCCCCCGAAAAGCAGACCCCCCCAAGTGCTGTCTCCTCGCGTCCTCAGGTGGTCAATTTTCCTTGCCAGCTACCAGTACGCACTGATTCACTGACCTGGGAAGGCGATGGGCCATGCGGACACCCTCAGCAGGCTACCACTACCGGAAACAGGCCCTGACCCAGCACCTGCATAAGAGGTTATGAGCCTGGAGCTGCTTCCTGACCGCCCCATTCAGGCACAAGAAGTTGCACACCATTCCAAGAAAGATAGGGTCATCTCCTGGGTCCTGGACTGGGTGTGGAGGGGATGGCCCAGCAGCAGCCCTGGGCCAGAATTCGCCGGCTACACAACCCGCAAACATGAACTGTCGGCCTACAAGGGGTGCCTGTTATGGGGAAGCAGAGTCGTTGTTCCCCAGCCCCTCCGCAAAAGGGTCCTCACAGCCCTACACGAGACACATCCAGGGGTAGTAAGAATGAAGGCCCTTGCCAGGAGTTATGTGTGGTGGCCAGGGATCGATGGAGAGATAGAGGCCTGGGTCAAACACTGCCAGGCCTGCCAAGAATCCCGCCCAGATCCCCCAAGGGCCCCAGTCCAGTCCTGGGAGTCCACCCGAGCACCATGGTCACACCTGCATGTGGATTTCGCTGGCCCCTTTCAGGGGAAAACATTCTTCATAGTGGTGGACTCCTACACCAAATGGCTGGAAGTCGCACTGGTACCGTCCACTTCCACGTCCGCAGCCATCTGGGTACTACGCAGGCTGTTTGCAACCCACGGGCTCCCTGACACTCTCATCTCAGACAACGGGACTGCATTTACGTCAGGAGAATTCCAAACCTTCACAGCGCAGAACGCCATCCGCCACATCCGTTCGGGCGCCGTTCCACCCTGCCACCAATGGCCAAGCAGAACGCATGGTGCGGACCACCAAGGACACCCTTCGCCGCATGACGCAAGGGGACTGGGAGTACCGCCTTGCCACATTCCTTCTAGCACAGCACAGCACCCCCAGCTCAATGACTGGCCGGAGCCCCGCTGAACTACTAATGGGTCGGCACCTTGCAATCAGATTGGACTGCCTTCACCCCGATAGAGCTCAGGATGAGGTAGTGGTGGGGGAAGGCAGGAACCCCCGGACCTTCGAGGCCCAGGACCCAGTGTATGCAAAGAATTTTGGGGCAGGCCCAGCATGGTCACTGGGGTCACTGGCCCCGTGTCGTACGAGGTGCTAACGGATGGGGGGCAATGCTGGCGCTGCCACTGCGACCAGATACGGCGACGATTCCCAGGAGAAAACCAGGAGGAGGACAGGTCAGAGGAGTCCCAAGCGAACAGCGGGGCAGTGAGGCCCATAGAGCAGGAGGGGCCAGCAGGAGAGGCAGAATCAGTAAATACAGAGAGGACCCGTGAGGCCGAAAGGACACCGGAACCAGAACCATGACTGAGCGAGCCGGTTGCACCAGACCAAACAGCCCCATCACAGCCAGCATCCTTGGAACACGAGCCAGAACCTGGAGCCCGGACCAGGGAACACCCCAGGCCGCAACGCACACGTAGGCCGCCGGCATACCTTGAGGACTATGAATGCGACCTCCCGGGCAGGACTGGAACTTAGAGGGGAGGGGTGTTATGTACTGAGTTGAATAGGATCCAAACTGCAGCAGTCTGATTGGTCCTAGAACAATATGATTGGTCTGCAAGAGCCACCCAATCCAGCTCCAGATAGAAGTGAATCCACAACCTGATTGGCTTACAGTAGAATTCCGGAATTAGCCAATCATGTGCAGCCCATTGTGTAAATAATGTATATAAAGCAGATACTGTGAGGGAACTTCCATTCAGTCCTCCTCACCACTATGAGCTGAATAAAGAGCCTGAAATCACTTTGCGACTCTGAGTATATTTCACAGTCTCTTACTAGACATTGCTCAGAAATACCAACAAACAAACAAACAAACAAACAAACAAACAAACATCAGTTCTGTTTTGAAAACAGTGGTTGAAATCAGCAGTTTGGAAATGTTCAGTATGCCATTTTGAGTCAATATGATATCTAATTACATCCAAAAGCTTGCTCCTTGATCTCTGGACCCATCATGCAAAATTTGATTACTGTGTCCAAATGCAGAGAGAACAAATGACTTTCAAAAATATATGGTAGATGACTTGCGTAATGTCAACATAGGCTTACAAGTGTAAAAACCAATTACACGAGACTTAAAATATAAACACCCATAATTAAAATGCACAACAAAACAATTCCATTAAAATATTCAAGTCTACACATCCATAATCAAAACAGACAATAAAGCAATTCTGTTTAAACACACATTAATTAACACAGGAGACACAGCTCTAGAGATCAAGCAAATTCCCATATAAACAGGTAAGTCTTCAAAAGCTGACATAATGCCAATGCAGATAAGGCCTCTCAGCCCCAAGTGCAGAAGCAGTGGTCATATCTAGAGTCAAAGGTAGCCACAATAGCTTTTAGCTTGTTGGAAACAAAGAAATATAGCATAACTTCAGTGATCCTTTATCTGCTTCCAGAAAAAAAAAGTTTGGAAATAACACTGAAATATACTATATTGTACTATATTTCTGGAAGTGGAGTTTATATCATGTGAAAACTCAGATACAATGCAGAAATTATGGAAATGTCAGGAAAATGGAACAAACCGCCGAGTGAATGTAGCCTTAGCTAAATACCACCCACCTTCTGCTTTTCAGTTCACACTTCTGCAAGCAATTTCCCCTAACATAATGCGTTTTTGTATTTTATTTTCATGAGCATGTTTTAATGTCTATTTCCCCCGACATACACCTTTTTGTACACATTATCTGCTTGGAAAACTGCATTGCAAAATTCGGGGACATGCAAATTTAAAAGGATAGCTGTGTTTTGGTTCATGCATTTTTTTCAGGAAAGAGAACTACATTTGTCCCCTCTATCTAGTCCCGGTTACAATGGAAACAGTCTGCTCTTGCCCAGTGGTGGCTGCTATCCTTTGGGACTGGTAAAGTGGAAGGGAGAGTGGCCAGTAGCAGGGGGAACCACAGCCACTGAGAGACAGAGCCAGCTCCTTCTAGCTTGTCCCCCACCCTCCCTGCTTCATTCTTCAAGAACAAAACAGACTGAGAAGGGGGGAGCTGACAGCCAGAGCCACACTGTGGCCCTGGACTAGTAAGTAGGAAGGCAGGCAGGTGAGGACTGGCTGAGGTTAGTGGGGCCATGCCCCCTTTGAATCAGCCACTTCTGCTCATGCTTGAAAAACTAGGTGCTAACACATTGTAAGTAAAAAGGGTTGGGCTGGGTTTGTAACTGTCTTCAAATTCCTGTATCAATAACAGTGATACATCATCTTTTTGCTTTTTTAATCATTTAGATTCCCACTTCCCTTATTTAAACTTCTATAGAGATAACATATTTAACAGACAAACTGAAATGGCTAAGTCTTTAAGACACTACAATACTTCTTGTTTTTTCTCATTACAGAGCAACAATGTGTGTTAATTCAAACAACCAGAAGAGGGCACTGCCCACCGATTTTCAACACTCACTTTTTTTTTGGTGGGGGGGGAATGGATGGACACAAAGAGTTCTGATCACTTACAGATCTGTTCTTTACAACAGGATAATATTGTTTCTGTCACCAAAGCTACAATCAACATGCTAAATTCAGAAAGCGACACAAGAGAAGGCAAATCCTATGAAAACACAAACCTGGAAGCATAAATAACCAAAAAGCAAAGTTACTATATATTACTACTAACTAGCTATTAGAAACAATGCATCGTAATATGCAAATTTAATTCAAAACTTGGGGTGGGGATGGAATCTGGCCTGTTAAAAGGTAAAGGTACCCCTGTCCGTACGGGCCAGTCATGTCCGACTCTAGGGTTGTGCGCCCATCTCACTTAAGAGGCCGTGAGCCGGTGCCGTCCGAGGACACTTCCGGGTCACGTAGCCAGCGTGACGAAGCTGCAGCTGGCGAGCCAGCACCAGCGCAGCACACGGAAACGCCGTTTACCTTCCCGCTATAAAGCGGTCCCTATTTATCTACTTGCACTTAGGGGTGCTTTCGAACTGCTAGGTGGGCAGGAGCTGGGACCAAACGACAGGAGCTCACCCCGCCGCGGGGATTCGAACCGCCGACCATACGATCGGCAAGTGCTAGGCACTGAGGTTTTACCCACAGTGCCACCTGCGTCCCTTTTATCTGGCCTGTTAGGCCTTGTCAAACTCCCAAGTCCCATTGTCCCAGCCTTCAGGGCCAATGGTCAGGGATGAGGAAGTCCTCAACATCATCTGGAGGGCCACGGATTAGCCACACCTGAGCTATACCACCCTCTAATATCACATATAACTTATAATAGGTTCTTTTTTTCACCTTGATGAGAAGTTGCACTTGCCAACATTCCCTGTTCTACTTGATTATTAAACATATAGCAGCCATGTTTCCCTTTTTTCTCTTAGTCACAGTTACAACTTTCTGGAAAGTAAATGTAAGATAATAGGCTTGTTTGGTGGTGGGAAATGTCCTTTTGAAGCAGCTTACTAATTTTAGATATCAAACCTGCATATACGCGCTCTCTCTCTCTCTCTCTCTCTCTCTCTCTCACACACACACACACACACACATAAAATTCTCAGTTACTGTCACTGAAATACCTTTTATTACTAGCAAGTAGCAACTAGTTATAGATGATGTTGATGAGAAAAATGTTCAGCCTTAGATCAGCACTGACAATAAAGTGATCTTGTATGACACTTTTGCAGATTGTGAACTAAGGCAGAGACAGCAAATTCATTTTATTAACCATACGTTCAACCAATTTATTTACACCCTCCTTTCCTCTCCAAAAAGAAGCCCAAAGCAGCTGATAACATCATACAAGAAAAAAATACAACAATTTAAAAAGAAAAACAATATGAATTATCTGACAGCAAAAATATTATAACAAACCTATAAGTAAACCATTGGTTTGATACTTTAAACACCAGTTCACTTAGCAATACAAAAATGCATAAATATATCAATAAACAAGGGGAGACTAAGTGTCCTGAACCCCTGACCTACCTGGCAGCATGTCAGTATGTCAAGTCCAAAGGCCAGAAAACACAGTCCAGGGTCAATCCAAGTAGCCAAGTCAGAATACAGTCCAGAGTCAAACCCAAAACACAGTCCCATAGAGGCCCAGGAGTATCCAAGCCAAGGCCCACCAACATGGGCAGTTGAGCAGACATAGCACCTCAGCTCTGCTGCCCTTTTGACCTTTGCATGCTGATTGTAGCATCTGGGCTTGATGGGGCATGTGACCCTCACCTGTTCTGAGCTTACTTCAAGTGAGGAATCACACACCTTCTGCTAGAGCTAGTGAACTCCACCTGGCCAGCTAGGGAGCTGGGCTGTGGGTCCTCTAGAACGCCTTTCCCGTTGCTCCCTATGCCTCAGAGCCCACTGTATTCATAGAAACAAGGGCCCCTCTGGCTCTGGGAATGGGTCCTGCTGTTCTGGGTCCTGGGCACTGACCTCCATCCCCTTGCCATTCTTTGTCACCATGTGAGTACTTCCTTCCCCATCCCCCTGCTTCCCCCAGTGTGTCCCAGTCCTGGCAAACCCCTCGCCGGATCCTCCCCATTGTCCTGCCAGTTCATGACACTAAGATATAACCCATATTTCAGCCACAAATATATACACACTAGGTGTTGCATCCTTGCTTGATCCACTCACCTGTCATTCACCCCACATCAATCCCCTAGATTGATTCCCCACATGCAACTACAAAGCTCACTTTTCACCTTCCAAAACCCATTTCTGAAGCAACTTCTCACTGCAGTCCCACTTTGCACCCATTTTCACCTCCCCACCATGTCCAAAACCAAAATCAATTCTCCTGGCAAACTGGGAATATCCCCTCATTCACACAGTTTAGGACATTCCCCACCTTTCTTCAGCAGAGTTTCTTTTTCTTTGAAAAAAATAAAGGGCTCACATAAATGTAAACAAAGCTTCAATAATAAAGAAAACTGTGACAAAATAGCATAATGAGACACACTAAATACAGCATGTTATGTACTGAGTTGAATAGGATCCAAAATACAGCAGTCTGATTGGTCCTAGAACAATGCAGCAATATGATTGGTCTGCAAGAGCCACCCAATCCAGCTCCAGATGGAAGTGAATCCACAACCTGATTGGCCTACAGGAGAATTCCGGAATTAGCCAATCACGTGCAGCCCATTGTGTAAATGATGTATATAAAGCAGATACTTTGGGGGAACTTTCATTCCTCCCCACCACTATGAGCTGAATAAAGAGCATGAAATCCACTCTCGACTCTGAGTATATTTCACTGCCGATGAAGGTGGGATCCCGCTGAGCTGACCGCCACACACAGCAGCACAGCACCGCCACCTGCCGCACCGCTGCCTCGCACCGTGTATCCAGGCTTCAGCTCCGGGACCCAAGGAACTCAGAATGGCAACTGTCTGAGGCAAGAAACAAGAAGAGGCAGTTGGTCCCTCTTAACTGAAACTTAACAAAACACACTGAAGGGAGGAGCTGATTCCGTAGCATAACACACAAGCCCCGCCCACCAGATACCAAATGTTCTACTGATCCAGTTAGGCCCCAGTATTTTTTTTCAACCGCCTCCCCCTCCTTTTGTGCAACCCAACTTTGTACACAAGCCACCTCTATGGTAACTTCCTGTATCTTCCTCCTCCCATACAAAGCACCTACTAAGCACCTTCACCTTCTGCCCAGTTATGAAGACCCAATTCCCCAGAGGCTCCTGAAGGGCAGCCCTTAACTTCTGGAATGACTCTTCCTGGGAATTTCTATTCTACCCCATCAACACACAGAATGTATTAAGCACTTCTCCAGAAGATTTCCCCATTGCCAGGCGATGCCAGTCATTGTGGCCTGTAGTACTTTGCCTGTTTATTCAAAGGATGCTTTCCCCAGAAGTTATACAAGAGGAACAGAGAACCAGGTCTCTCTAATATGGAACTAGGGGCTTGAACCAAGGGTAGGGAACCCTTTTTGGGCATGAGGACAAGCTTCTGGAAGATGCAATCCAGGGGCAGAAGTGGGTGGAGCAACATGTGTTACTCTTTCCTTTGCATCCCAGCCACACAAAGTCCAGAGATTTCTATGCAAAAAGACACACATACACATACAAACATGCATCTATTTCCATCATCGTCCAGGCATGTGAGAGGCACAGAGAAAGCACCAGAGGAGGGTGTGGAGAAGGGCAAATGGGAGTGGCCTGAGAAGATTCCTCAGGGCCGGATAGATGGTCCTAGTTCAGCCTTTCTCAACCTGTGGGTCCCCAGATGTTTTGGGACTACAACTCCCATCACCCCTAGCTAGCAAGGCCAGAGCTCAGGGATGATGGGAGTTGTAGTCCAACAACATCTGGGGACCCACAGGTTGAGAACCGCTGTCCTAGAGGGCTGTATTCGGCCCTGGACCTGAGCTTCCTCAACCACATGACAAGTATGTTTCTAGACTTTCCAAACAAACTGTTGAATACTGTACTTGATAATCATCTCCAGGGATACATGAGGGATCATTGCAACTGGCTCAATCAATCAATCAATCAATCAATGCTTTTCTTCTCCCATACTTCCACATTCAAGCCAGTCCCTTTAAGAAGCATTTCATCTCCTGATGAATGTTATTAGCAGAGGGGGTGAAATTATGCAGGAACTGACACCATTATAAATAGTATGCATACAAAATCCCTTTTAAATTACTATAATAGGTACCTAAATCAGCCCTGCTAATGGCCTATGAATCACAACTGTCCCTGCATACATTTCTACATGTTATGACTTGAAAAATTTGTGTGTGTGTGTTTCTATATGTGCTTGTTTTTTCTACTATTCTTTTGTTTTCATGCTCTCTCTCTCTCTCTCTCTCCTCCCTCTTGACTGTGTGACATGGTGTCTCCCTTCCCCCTATGCTGCCTCTTGCACTCTTCCTTCTCAAATACAACATACATTTTTTAAAATTTTAATGATGCTACTGTATGGAACCCTGAAGTAATGCTGGTTTACGCCTTAGGTTACAGAGCACAAATACTGCAGAAGTGCATTTAGATACATAGGTCTGCACTCTCTGCTGTGAATAAGTTGACTGTATAAATTTACAAGCGCTCCCTTAGGATAGAGAAACTGCTTAAGGTAATACGAGGACACACTTCTAACAGTCCCTTTTTACCATGGACACCTCCTGTTTCCAGGTATCTGTCCTGAGTTGAAACACGGTCCAACAGTGTTGGAGAGGAACTTGTAAACCACGACATTCAACCATCTACTTCAGAGGCGGGGAACCTTTTTGGTTCAGGGGGTGGGAGAATCTTTATCTCCTCCTACACCATGGCTCAACTTTGACAGGTAGGTGGCTCCTGTCAGTCTCCAGATGCCATGGTGTCAGGCAAACAACAGTCCTCTCCATGTATCAGAGTTCATTTTGGGGGGAGATTTGCTTCACCAGTGCATTCCCCACAGCACCTAGCAGGACTGAACTCTCCACTAGCAGGCTGGTAAGTGGGGACTTCAATCCTGCTCTCTGCAGAAGTCTGCTTTGCCTGCGCAGTCCTTGCAAGTGCTTGTGAAGCAGCACCCAGCAGGATTGAACCCTGCTAACACTATCCAGTGACAGGTAGGTGTGGTTTGGGGAAAATGGCTGCACAGGCCAAATTGGAACCCGCTGGAGGCAGGGCCGGATTTAGATGAAGAGAGGCCTTAGGCTACTCCATTTGTGAGGCTTCTCCCCACCCCCCACCCTCACAACTAGAAGAAAATGGAAGAGTGTTATAAACAAAATTGAGTGAAGCCAAGTATGATGATGGGTATTTAAAATGTTGCAATTCACAATTTCTTCTCTAAAGGACATAAGATATTATTGTTAAATTCATGGTGATTTTAAAAAATGCATAAAATTAACACTGAAAAACTTTTGCAATAACTGAACTTTGTACACCTTTTGTGGCCTGGGCAGGCCTGGAACTAGTTCCCATGTCTTATTCCTCTCTAAGGAATCATGTTCAACCTTCATGGCCTTTAACCATGGCGTGGCCACAGGCCTGGGCAGGCCGGGTCTTCCTGTTATATGCCTGCTGGGATTGGCAAGGCATCTGACCCTCACCTGAATCTCATAGCTCTCCGAACGAGTGCTTTGGCCTGCCCACCAGATACCAGGCACTCTACTATTCAAATTAGGCCCCAGTGTTTTTGTTACAATCCCCTTCTCAATTAAGTAATCAATTTTAATCTAGAATTTAAATTCTCAAAACTTTCTTATTTGTTAATTCGAGCAAGTAAACTACTGCTCTCACTTCATTACAAACAGTATTTCTACCTGCAACACACTTGAGCAAACCTGCTCCTCTTTCTTTCATAGAAATTTTGTTGCCATTTGCAACTGTAGCTGCCTCTGATTAGTTATCATTTAACTCTTGGGAGAAATAATTAGCATCACACGTCATGTGCATGGAAGTTGCCAAATCAATTAACCAATAAGAAGGATTACTGTTAATAGCACCAGTTTTCCTATAACTTGATATTCCTGGATAGTTTTGATGAACTGCAAAAGCATTTTTAGTTTGCTTTCTGTTGCCACCCTGGAACTTTTCTTTATTAGTGCCACTTTGTTTTGTACGATTCCTTGCAAATGAAGGAAAACAACTTTTCTGCTTGTATATGTTGATAATATAATTTTGGTTACTGAGGACAAACAAGATTGTGCAAGAACAAGATTGGGTGCAGGCCTGGCCAGGACATAGGTGTCCTGACTGTGACAAATGTGATCTGTGTGCTTGCTTGCTTGCTTGATTAACAGCTGTTGAGAACTTCAAGGTCCCTGCTCTCCCTTCTTTTGGTCTTTGTACTGGACCGGGAGACTTCAATAGAGAGCATTCCATGTCAAGAAGGAGGGCAAGTGGGCACCCTATCAAATGACAGGGCAGGAGCTACATGGAGCAGGGCCTTTTCACTGGTAGTGACCATTGTATGCCTCGCTCTTTCCAGACCTGCTCTCTTTTGGCCTGTATTTTGGAGATTTATATTTTAGGAAGACTTTGGAAGAACTGGTTGATAAGTTTTATCAGTTGCTGAGGTATGAGCGGATTTTATTTGCTGCTATTCTGGGCTTCTGGTGTACCAGGGTTTACACCAGCATAATAAAGTTGGCCAGGATGCCAGAAGGGATACAATTTATGAGCTTTCTCCATTATCAGCACAGCAGGGGGTGTTCTGTCAACAGTGCAAAGGCTGAGCTGAAGCGTTCTCTGCTGGTTACCTGCTTTCAGCAATAGGGGTCGCTGTTTGGTAGTACCTAATTGGTTAGCTGTCAGATTCTAGAGCTCCCTATTGGTGGCTCTTAGGTAATTCACAAAACACTGAGTCCATTCATAAAACACAGTGTTCATTTATAAGGAAGTAACATAAATCTCCATTGCTACATATTGGGTGTATATTTCAGCGGTTGAATGTACAAGTTTATGACCATGCTGTAGTGTAGTGCTTATGAGACTGCGAATAAAAGGTGGCGGGGCTCATTGTCTCGGGGTTTGGGGGGGGAAGAGGTAACAAAACTGATTTCCAATAAGTGCCCCCCCTTTATTTCCATAACAAGTCCTTGAGTCTGTACTCTGAATGGTGACACCAGGGACCTAGAAGGTGCAGGGCTTGTCAGTCCAACCCCTGCACAGTCTCATCAGGGCTGACCTTAAGGCAATTGGAACAACTGGACCAAATTGGGCCCCACAGGCCGCTCCTAAGGGCCCCCCCCCCGCACCAGGGCAATCTAGATGGATTTTATTTATATCTATAAGATTTTGCAGACTTTGGCTGTAAACCTGAAATCCTGGGCTACTTTACAGTCCAGTAAGGACTACAATACCTCAAGGACCACCTCTCTCTATATGAACCGACCTGGACCCGGCAATCAGCAGCAGAGGCCTTTCTTTGTGTGCCTCCTTTACAAGAGGTCTGGAGGGTGGCAGCACAAGTACAGGCTTTTTCAGCAGTGGCCCCCAGTTTGTAGAATGCTCTCCCCAAGGTTGTTCATCCCCAGGCACCTTACTTGTATATCTTTAGTCGCCAGGTAAAAATGTTCCTCTTCAACCAGGCCTTTGGCTGATTAATGTTCTACAGCCTTTTATATGCATCTGTGGGAAGGAGGGGTTGTTGATTTGCTGTTTCTGTTTTAAGTATTTATTTGTGCTTTTATCTTGTGTTTTTGTCTTGTGAACTGCCCTGAGATCTTTTGATGGAGGTTGGTATATAAATCTAATAAATAATAAAATAATGATTAT